TTTTTTTTTTTTTTTTTTTTTTTTTTTGTGGTTCTGATGATGAAAATGAATTATACAACAAACTTATTGCACAATAAAGACTGAAAAAAAAAAGGAAGAAAAAGGAGAAGAAAAAATAGAAGTGAATAAAGATAAAAAAAATTGGTATGAAATAGGGAAAAGGGAAAATATTATTGCCTACCGAAAAAAACCTTAATTTGAAAAAAAAAAAAGTTTTTTTCAACTTTTTTCCTCTTATTCTCAATTTTGACATAATTTTTTCATCTTTTATTTAATCAACTTTATTTCAGCTCTTTTACTGTCACCTATTGCTCCCAATCTTGTTTATCTGCCTCTTTCAAATCATCTAAATTCTTGGGTTTCATTTCTTTTGAATACCTGAAAAAATGTTTTGTTCAATTTTTTTCAAAGTTCTGTTAACCACAACAATAAAAACAGTGTTGCAGAAGAGAGGAGATTGAAAACGCTGCAAAAATAAATTATCAAGTCAAACAAATCATAAGTTGCAAAGAGACTTTATGTTGAACTGAATTGAGCAGATAATGCATTAGTGATGGTGCTAAAAAACTATAAATATTTTTTAGGCAACTTACCTAGCCAAAATGATTAAGCAATTTTATTTTGGACATATCTTCAGCAACGTTCAGTATGCTGTGTTATAGTAAAAGAAAAGCAAGGAGAACAAGAATAATAGCCAGAAAAATTTCTTATTTGAAAGTTATACTGCTAGAAATCTGGTATGAACAAACGGAATTGTTCTTCGTTTAAAAAGCCTGTTTCTGATAACGTATCCGCTAGAGTGGGGAAGTGCGGGGGGAAGGTATGAAGTTGCCATCGTCATGGAAGACGTCTGTATTGGACAGCAGCATCCAAACTGTTCAGTGTTGTTTATTTGTTTGCTGTAAAAACGATTTGTTTTCATAAATAATACTGTTGATTTTTTTGCCAAATAAAAAAAGGAATAAAGGAGAAAAAAGTGAAAAGTGTTATTTAGGTCATTAGTCATAATAAATATTTGCTTTTATAAGTTCTTTGATTATCTTTTATTCAATTGTCATATGTTAAAATTATTTTTGTCTATATTTATCTGTTATGGCAGTGCTATATATATTGCAATTAATTATGTCTTCTTCTTGGTTTTTTTTTTTTGTTAAAAATGTTGCGAAGTGATGACAGTTATAATAAACTAGAGCATTTTACATAACTGTTCAATTTCTGAATACTTTGTAAAGCAGATCAGAACCTTTTTTGCAGTTAGGTGTCACTAAGGTGAAGCTTGAAAGTTGGAATAAAAATACCATTTTGTCAGCGAATTGTTCAGCAAAATTAATTTTCGATCATTAATTTTTTATTTTTGCTCGGTAATACCCTTCAGATGACAGACATTTATTTGTATACTGTTACTGTAATTGA